AGGGATTTGAGCCAATAGTTCAAATACTCAAATAGTTGAGTAGTCCAATACTCAAACCACTATATCATGCTGGCTCTCTTTGTTTATTGCACTTTCTTTGTCATTCAGTTCATGAAGATCTGACTCCTCTCCTACTCATTTTACCATTTGCATAATACACTGCCCTGGCAAGTGATAGTATCTTTATTGTTGAATACTGACACATTCCAAAATACTTCATATTAAAGACATTTCCTTGTTTTAAAGGGATACCAAACAACAGAAGATAGATGGGATCACAAATGTCAGAGCAGACATATTATGAAACACTGTTGCATAAAAATACATAAGCCACTCCATCAAAAAAACTGTTTTCTTTTAGAAATACCATAGTTGTTAGATTATCCAAACCTACACCTACATTTGGTGTCCTGTACCATCAAGTATAGCTGATAACATACATCCCATGACTTTTTCATAGGGTTTTCTTAGGCAACAAATACTCAGAGGTGGTTTTGCCAGTTCTTTTCTCTGAAATGCAGGCTACAGCTTCCTATCCAAGTCCTTGTCTAGCTTCCAAGATCAGACATATCCCCTCAAATACACCCTATTATCCAACTTGGTTCTTATTATTTTAGGGCAGGCAACCAACTCAACTATTTTGGGGGCAGGGAGGGGCAATTTTGTATCTTCTGAGCTCTATTTCTTGGTGTACTTGTCTTCAACTTTTCAGAAGGCAGAATGTTCAGGTGGTATAAACCATGTTTGAGTGCTCATGTGCAAGCGGTGGTGCAGGCATGACATTTTCTTCACCAGGTCGCACAGTCTGTTCTTTCTAACAAAGAAAAGAATAAATTACAGAGAGGAGGTTTTTCTCAAACCTCCTCCTAGTATTATAGCAGCAGGGAGTCTTTTGTATCTAGGATTATGCAGAATTATAGTCCAGTTCCTGTAGCCTGAGGCTGTAGAGCTCATACTGCCACCTGAAAACTTTACCATCACCTCCTTCCTTCCTTATCGTCTTTCATATTTAGGACCCATGCTTTTTCAGATGCTAATCTGGTATATAATGTCAGCACAGTGATGGCTCTGGGGCCAACAGATTACTTGGCCGGTTAATTAAGTCATTAACCTACCAAATGGTCTGTTGGTCCCAGAGCCACAACTGACTGCTAATAAGTTTCCAGTCCCAATTCAAAGTGCAGGTAATCACCTATAAAGCCCTAAACGGTTTGGGCCCTGCCTATCTTTGTGACCGCATCCCCCCTATGAACTGGCATGAGTGTTAAGATCTGCAGGGAAGGCCCTCCTTGTGGTCCCACCACTGACACACACGGTTGGTGGGGACGAGGGAAAGGGCCTTCTTGGTGGTGGTCCCCTGCCTTTGGAATGCCCTCTCCAGAGAAATTAGACAGGCACTCACACTGTACTCCTTCCATAAGGATCTGAAGACTTGGTTGTTTAGACAAGCCTTTGAAAATGTTTAGCCCAATGGTCTGCAATTATGATACAGCACAGCAGTTCCATCCCATCCCATGCCCTTGTCCCTTAGCTACAACTTGCACAACTTGCACTATCCTTTCCCCTTCTTCTTGTTTACAGTTGACCATGTTTTTACAACAGTTGACACTATAGTTTATTGGGCACCGTTTTGAGTTCAAATTGTTGTTTTATATACTACTGGTTTATCTTGTATTGTATTGTGTGTAAACTGCCTCGAGTCCCTTTGGGGAGATGGAGGCAGGGGTACAAAAAAAGGGTATTATTATTATTATTATTATTATTATTATTACTTTTGTTATTATTATTTTCATGCCATTCTTGCAATATGTGAACCGCAGAAACTCACAACTTGAGTTAAAACAAACAATTTTACAAACCTGCGTCTCACAAAATATGCCCTCGAGGCGATTCTATAATATGCTCCCACTAGACGTCAACATAGACTCAACCTATAAACCAGCAAATTTCTAGAGTGGAAAGTCCTGCAGATTGTTTGTCCCAATCCATATAGGGCTTTACAGGACAAAAATATAACTTTGAATTGTGAGACAAACCAGTTTCTAGTGGAGTTGGTTCAGCTATGTGAGTTCTCTGTAGCCAGTCCCAACCAGCTGTCTAGCCATAGCATATTGAACCTGCTGAAGTTTCTGAACAGTTTCCGAAGTCAGCACCATGTGTGAGTGTGTTAAATTAGGATATAATTAAGGTGTGCTTCATTGTGGCCAATTCTGGCATTTTAAGGTATAGTTTGCAGGTGACATACCAGTTTTAACTGTACAAATGCACTCTCAGCCACTGTTGAGACCTGTGTTTCCCCACTTCCAGTTTCCCTCAATCGCCTTCTTTCCAGCCAAGAAGAAAGTGGCCCGTCTCCAGGAGTGATGATTAACTCTTGAAATAGGTCACTTCCCCCTTCTAGTTTCTAACATTTAAAATACCATTGTTCTTTGCACACTAGAAGTGGACTTCCACGTGCTTCCATTCCCCTCCCCTTGTTTTGCTTTTAAATGACATTCTTGGCAATCTTTGCAGCCCTGGGGCATTTCAGGGGCAGGAAATAGACTCTTGAACTTGGCAAAGATCCTTACCCCACACTGTACTTTGGAATTGGGCTCCATGACTTTTTAGGAAATTAACTTATCAACTTTCAGAATAAGACACAAGAATGAAAATAGGGTTAAGATTTCATGTTGGTGGACCTGTTGGTGAACATCAGCTTTTACCAACCTCTGTTGTAGGTGAGGGAAACGGACATGTTGGTGAACAAGTAATTCTGACTTTTACATATCTTGACACATTTCAGATGAAAACTAGAATGTTAAAATGCCCAATTTCTCTCTGTTTCTTCTACTTTCCATCTTTGTTTTGAGCTTCAGGTCCCTTCTACACTGCCATATAATCCAGATTATCAAAACAGATAAACCACATTATCAGCTTTGAACTGGATTATATGAGTCTACATAGTTCAAAGCAGACAATTTGGATAATTTATATGGCAGTGTAGACGGGGCATGAGTTTCTCCAACTGCTGCAAAATCAACTTACCTCAATGGGAGAAGGTGAAAGAACCTGGGATAATTTATAAGTAGCTGAAAAAGTGGAAAAGTCTGCCTCTGCCAAATTGGGACAGTGAAAGGGTATGCTGACATGAATATGAATACAATAGGCAATTAATTAAGCACCGGGAAGAAAAGGAGGAAAGAAAAAGCAGAAGGAAAGAAAGGCAAAGAAGATTGTGGGAGACTCCCCTCCTCCCCCTCCAGTTTGCTGATTATATTGTTTTCATAGTTCAAAGTACTTCTCCTTAAAAAAAAAAGACTCCTAAAAGGCTTGGGATCTAAGTACAGTAGAGTCTCGCTTATCCAACCTTCTCTTATCCAACGTTCTGTATTATCCAACGCAGTCTGCCTCCCACCCAGATCCACAGCTGTTTCAATACATTGTGGCATTTTGTTGCTAAATTCGTAAATACAGTAATCACTACATAACGTTACCATGAATTGTACTAGCTTTTCTGTCAGTTTGTTGTAAAACATGATGTTTTGGTGCTTAATCTTCTGTGTTTTAACTGTACGTGAATTGTACTAGCTTTTCTGTCAGTTTGTTGTAAAACATGATGTTTTGGTGCTTAATCTTCTGTGTGCCCATGGGGGAGTCTCTCATTTGGTATAAGCCATGTCTTGAGGTTCTGAATTTTAGCCTGCCACTTTTGGACTCTTGCTTGCTGAGGTGTTCCTGCAAGTATCTCTGTAGATCTTAGAATACTATTTCTTGACTTAAAGCGTTGTTGTGCTGGCTGATATCCAAACAGGGGATGGGCCAGAGATGTCACTGCTTGGTCCTTTCATTATTGGTTGCTACTTCCCAGCAGCTATCAGGTGGTGCAATACTGGCTAAACAGTATAATTTCTCCAGTGGTGTAGAGCATAGATATCCTGTGATAATGCAGCATGTCTCATTAAGAGCCACACCCACTGTTTTAGCATGGTGAGATGTGTTCCACACTGGGCATGCACACCCAGCAGCAGAGTAGCAAAGCATAAGGGCAGATGTCTTCACTGTATCTGGTTGTCATCCCCAGGTTTTCCAGCTTTCGTATGCTATTGCTTCTAGTGCCCACTTTTTGCTTGATATTCAAGCAGTGCTTCTTGTAGGTCAGTGCACGGTCCAGAATAACTCCCAGGTATTTGGGTATGCTGCAATGCCCCAGTGGGATTCCTTCCCAGGTAATCCTCGGAGCTCGAGATGCTTGTCTGTTCTTAAGATACATATATTGAGATTCAAGCTTTATAGAAAGAGCCTTGATCTGTATGAGTAAAGCTTCAGAATAAAAACTACCAAGAGCATTAACAGTCTGTTTGACTTCCTATTAATAGCACTGAGGAAGAAATATGTTTCTTCGTCAATGTTCCAATGAAACTCTGTCTACAGGAAAATTAAAAAAAAACCCTCAAAAGGTTTGTTGATAGAAATGGCTTGGGATTCTAGCCACAACTGCACCCAGTTCTTGTAAACATTTGAATTTGCAAGACATCCATATTTAATATTTTACACATTGCTTCTTATTTGCTTCATTTTGATGGCAAGTTAAATAGAGATAGAAAAGAGTCTTGGAACTTTCAGGATTGTTCCCAAAAGAAAACATTTTACAGTATCTGAGATTTTTCAATTTTGTGAAAAGTCCATAAAACTAAAATTCACAAACGTGGAAAGCCAAATGTAATTTTTTTAAAAAGAAAGCTTCCAGAATCCTTCAGCTTGACCACGATAGTTGGAGGCCTCTGGAAACTTGTAACTCAAAATAATATATCCAAGCTTCTGGCAAAGTCTTCTTAGCAAGTGTAAAACACCTTTCCAAATAACTTTGTAGTTCATCCATATACCGTATATTTTAAAGTCTGCTCAGAAAACGAAAATATCAGTTTTCTGCAGCCAGATTTCTTCAGCATTGTTTGATCTCATAAATGACATCTCTATTTCTTTTCCTATATTAACTCGAGTGTCCCATTCTGTTGCAGTGCATGTCAGCTGAAGACATCTTTTCTGTGCATGGGCTCTCAAACAGCACCAAGGTGACAGCATCCAGCTTCTCTGCAATATGTCCTGCTGTCTTACAACAGTTGGTTTTTCACCCTTGTGAAAAATCCAAAGGCAACTCAAAACCATCTCCCACAGAAGGTATTGTTTATTTGTTTACACTTAATGCTTCTTATTTGGATCTGCATTCTTAGATCTGCTGGTTCCTCAACATACAGCCTCATCACAGCATGGATCCACTTTAAATCCGGTTGCTGCCTCCTGCAGAATTCTGGGGCATGTAGTTTAGTGAGGGCAAAAACCTGCCTGGCTGAGCAGTTTAAAGACCCCCTCCCTAAACTACAAGTCCCAGAATTCTGCAGGAGTCAAAAACCGGATTTAAAGTGGTTCCATGCTCTAATGTGATGGCATCCAGTTTTTGCTGGTGAGCTACCTACTGGCATCAATGAAGTTTATTGCTGCAGAAACACAGGAAGCCTGGAAAAGTTATTATTTTGGTCTACACCTTTCAGAATCCTTCAGTCAACATTCTGTGTTAGCTGAGAAATTCTGGGAGATGAATCTTGAAAAAAATCTCTCAATCTGGACCAGGAAGACTTACTGTGTCCATATAGTCTCTTTTATCAATCTTGTCAGATAGCTGCTGGTATCACTCTGGTTCATAGGGAGGCACGGGGAATCTGGCTTCCCATGTCCTGTATCGCCCAGCTCCAGCCGAAGGTGATCAGATGGGGGTAAGCGTGAGTGCATGTGATGTGCCCGGCTCCCCCTCATGCATTCTATGGCAAGATGGGATTTCTCCCATGTTGCCCTGCCAGTGGAATGCTCCAGCTCTGCCTTCCTTCACCATGGAGCTGGTGCAGCATCATGTGGTGGGAGCCAGCCAGCAATGTGGGAGACTTGGGCTTAGCCCTTTGTGATGAGGTGGTATGTCTGCCCTGAATGGTTATGGCTTTTCTAGGCATGATACTTTGCCACATGACCCTTTCACCTGGAGATGTCAAGGATTCAACTTGAGACTTTCAGATGCAAATAATTTACTTTATCTCTTAAAAGGGAAGAAAGACTCAGGGCCTTTTCAGGAATATGTCATGAAACATTCACAGAGGTTGCTGATCCAACACCATCTGGTTCACTACTTGCTATGTATAGATGAGGCAGTTCCTGGAATCACTGGGTTGTTGTAGGTTTTTTTGGGCTATATGGCCATGTTCTAGATGCATTCTCTCCTGATTTTCCCTAATTCCAACAGACCTCACTACCTCTGAGGATAATTGCCATAGATGCAGGCGAAATGTCAGGAGAAATGCCTCTAGAACATGGCCATATAGCCCGAAAAAACCCACAAGAACCTAGTGATTCCAGCCATGAAGGCCTTCGACAATACAGCTCTCTATTGCAGAAGAAATGCTCGAGGGTTATCTAAGCATTTATCAAACGGAGGAGGAGCATGGGTTGCTGACAGCACCAGAATGGCCTGCACCAGACTGTGGCCTTTTTTTGAGTGCCTTCAAGTTGTTTCTAACTTATGGCAACTGTAAAATAAACTTATCCCTGAGTATTATTAACAAGGTTTATTTAGATAGGGGGTTGCCTTTGTTTTCCTCTAACCTGAGAGAATATGACTTGCCTAAGGTCACTCAATAGGTTTCCATGACTGAGTGGGGATTTAAACCCTGGTCTCCAGAATTGCAGTCCAACTTCAAATTACTATACCATGCTGGCTCTGAAATGAGCCCTACTACTCAGTAACATCCTTTCTAATGTTACTAAAATCAACTCTATGCTTCAGTTATTGCTTCTCTCTGCCTTCCCTTATCTTCTTTATCCATGCAGTGGTTTTCAATAATAGAGACTACATTGGTACATAAACTGCCATAGGCTACAGTGGAATCATTTCAAAAATGAAAAGTATTTTTGCAGCACAGGCAGAAACATTGGATCCCAGTCTCTAAGCTGAATTTAGTTTTATCTACCTGTTTGGAAGAAAAAAAGGCCTTGGAATATCTAGTTACAAAATAAATACTCCAGAAGAAATTTCTTCTATTTTGAATTATAAATATCCAAGTTTATAAACAAAACAACTGCCGCTATCTCTATGGGGCAGGTCAACTTTGGCTTGGCTTATGTTTTATAATATAAAATCAAAAGGTAAAGGATTATAAAAATTTTGGCAGAGATATCAGGAAGTGAAGTCTAAAAATATGAAGAGTCAAAATTCCCCCACACCTATTTTAGCTGTTGTTATGTTTCTAATTCTGGAAGTTCCTTTCTGGAGAGGTTAGACTGATAGTCCCAATCATTCTGTAGGCTGGTGAAGACTTTTATTTTATTTTATTTTATTTTATTTATTTCAGCAGGCTTTTGAGGACCGATTGCTCATGGAGAAAGAGCCTCTAATATTGAGCTGCATTTTTCTGTTTTTTTTAAAAAATAGTCATACCCTTAATTGCTTTTAATTCTATTGATAATTTAATTTTATATGATTTAGCTGTTTCAAATGTAACTTTACTAAGTTGCTTTGAATCCCAAAACTGGGTAGAGGGCAGCATTTAATATAGAAACAATAGTAATGATAATCTATACCCAACACATTTTATTCTATACTCATTCACCCAGGATGGCTGCTACAAAATATTTCTGTAATAAGAATTAATTAGAATCAAAATATGTAAGTCTATATTAAGAGAATTGTTGTGGGGTCTCAGCTTTGAATACAACAGAGTGATTAATGACCACAAGAAAGAATACGTTTGGTTCTCCAGATGTTTGGCCTTATATCACCTACAGTCCCACCGTAATGCCCATGTTGGCTGAGGCTGATGGGAACTGTAGGACAGAACATTTGGATGGCCAGAGATTTCTTTCCCATGATCTGGAGTATGCAGCTGGTGTCCCTCTCGCATAAAGGAAAGTCATGTCACAACAGAATTTCAGGCTACTAATATGACATTAGCATACCTGATTTATTGTAGCATGCTGCATTCTAATGAGTCTCAAGGCGTGCTGGCCCTTTCTGCACAATCTATATTCTCATGGATTTCCATTATTATTATGATTTAACTTTGCAGTGATATGAATCTGTCTGTAATGACTTACCAGGGGAAACTTCCAACTCAATTAGTATTCACATAGGTGAATTCATCTGGCTGTGGTCATGGATTATATTGTTCTTATATTTTATACTATAGTAGGTTTAGGAAAGGTTTTGCCCATGGGCCACCTGCAGTCCTCTGAGTCTATTTTTACCCAAAAGGCTTCTCTGCCCCACTCAAATTGGAGGATGGGATGTTTCTCATGTTGTATCCAAAATGACCCATAGCAGTCCTGAAACTTACATGTATTAAACCACATTTTGAGATGTTTTGTGGTGGTGTTCCCAATGTTTAGAGCAGTAGTTCTTAACCTGTGGGCTGCAGACCACCAGTTGGCCACAAGGATGAAAACCTGGTCCACGAGCCTCCTTCCTCTTTATTCATTTATTTTATTTTCCCTCCTTTTGTGCTGCCTGCCACCCCATCCCTGTCACTGACCATGACATATTTTCTGTATCAGAAACGAGAGCTGATGTGGTCTATCCAATGCAATTTTCTGAATCAGCAACCCAAACCAGATCTAAAGTTGACCAAAAACTGATTCGTAACCTTTTTGATACTAATGTTGGAGAGTGATCTGTGGTCAAAGTGGTCCCTGGTCAAGTGGTCCCTGGTCAAAGTGGTCCTTGGTCAAGTGGTCCCTGGTCAAAAAAAGGTTGGGAACCACTGGTGTAGAGGACATCATTGGTCTTCTTTCTAAACAGGAAGTAACTGTCTGGACCAGTGGTTCTCAACCTGTGGGTCCCCAGATGTGTTGGCCTTCAACTCCCAGAAATTCTAACAGCTGGTAAACTGGCTGGGATTTCTGGGAGTTATAGGTCAAAACACTTGGGGACCAACAGATTGAGAACCACTGTTCTAGACCCAAAATTTTAAGAAGCATGGAGTGAAATTGGGGATATCCTATTTGGGTTCAGCAAGAAGCAATGCAACCCTTCAATCTTGGCTTAAAGGTTTAAGACATATAATTATGGTGATAGCTTGCAGTGACATAGTAATTCTCCCCATCTGTATTCTTGAATTATCTGTATATAATTATCAGGTGGGACGGGAGAAAGAAATGTGTACAGTATGTATACAGGAAAGGATAGTGACAATATCTTAGATTTTTCTGTGGAAACTATGAACACATTCGTACAAATGCACACATTTAATCCCTTTAGTACTATGTAATGTGCTTCCTATGTAGCTTAGCTGATATATTGACACTTCTCTTCTGCTTTCTAATACATTTATTTCCAGTTGAAATTGCCACAAGAAATCCAGTCATAGTGCAGTCACAGAACTATTTTTGGTTTCTCTCCCTCTGCCCCCACTAGTTTGTACATGTATAAATTACAGGCACAAACATCATTTTCTTTATCTGGTTTCTGACTTTGATATTTCTCAAATATTACCTTCCAAGATCAGCAGAATAATTTTCTGCTGATTTGAGGTGATGCAATGGGTTGCGCCGTTTGAACTGCTGACCTGAAGACCTGAAAGTTGGTGGTTTGAATCTGTGAGATGGAGTGAGCTCCTATCTGTCACCCCCAGCTTCCCATGCAAGCACATGATAGAATCCTCCCAAAGGATGGTAACACATCCAAGCATCCCCTGGTTAATGTCCTTGCAGATAGCCAATTCTCTCAGACCTGAAGCGACTTGCAGAATATTCCCAATTCATTTCATGGCTGGAGTCACTGGCTTGTTGTAGGTTTTTTTGGGTTATATGGCCATATTCTAGAGGCATTTTCTCCTAAAGTTTTGCCTGCATCTATGACAAACATCCTCAGAGATTGTGAGGACCTCACACCTCTTAGGATGCTTGCCATAGATGCAGGCGAAACATCAGGAGAGAATGCCTCTAAACATGGCCATATAGCCCAAAAAAACCTACAACAAGCCAGTATTCTCAATTCGCTTCTGACACGATAAAAAACCCCAGAATATAACTAGGTATATAAGTATTTTGGCAGTGAAACCAATGTGTTTTCAAATGATCCATCAAGAGTACTCCTCCATCTGAATGTATCTAATATTTCATTGTGCTTTTCTTTATTTTACAGTGTGGGGCTTTGGGTTCCTTGCAGTGACCATAATCAATTTTGCTGCTCTTCTTGGCTTGGTTTTAACTCCTCTTTTGAAGAAAGATTATTTCCCAAAGATTTTAACATACTTTGTTGGTTTGGCTATTGGAACCCTCTTCTCCAATGCAATTTTTCAATTGATTCCAGAGGTAAGAAAGATATAGCTGAAACAGGAGGAATCCGAGTTTGGGAATGATACATGCATTAATATGGGAGAGAAGATTTTTTTCTTTTAGTACTCTGCTGATGGAATGCTTTCCTTTTGAATACCCAACATTAGTCTATTTAAGGCACCAATTAAAATATGGCTTTTAATTAAAGCCTTTTCTTCTAACATATTTTAAAAATGTATATGGTTTATTTTTTTTAGCCTTTCCTGCTGTTTTGAACTATAAAGATGAAAAATATTATTCTGTTATTATTATTTGGATTTGTAAACTGTTTACATCATTTTTAATATATGCCATCCTGTGATTTTGCAATAAAAGGCAGGATATTTAATGCATATTAATAAATAAATGCATATTGTAATAACACAAACAGACTATTAGAGGCATTATGAGTCTTTATTAGGCATATAAATATTTGCCTATTTCATTTTTACATGGAAGGACAAAGCTTTTACAAGCTGTACTTTCTTAGGGATGTAAGTTACAAATTCTGCACATTTTTGTAGAATGTTTCCATTTTGGGACTTCCTGGTGAAAATCTCATTTGTGGAGAAAAGCATTGCTCTTTGTAAGGAAAATGTGTGTACATTCATTGGTTTTTATGAAACACATTTCACAAAAGCCTTTGTGTATAAAGCACAATATTTTGTGCAGAATTGAAATTTTTGTGAAAAGTCCTAAAGTGCAAAAAATCTTGCAGAGGTTGAAAAAAATAGTTTTGATATGTCAAGACACCTATTTCTACTGAGAATGAAAATAATTGCAAGTTGTCATTTCAACCTCGCATATCACTTGATGAAGATGAAGATCAGCTGCTAGGGAATGTAAGACATTTGTACATTACAGCCATCTAATCTGCAGACTTAATATCCAGAATTTCACTTTTCCACATATCAAAAATATTCCCACTGGAAACATTTGCCAGCCTCTCTAGGTCCTCTAGTATGATTGTATAATATGCTTCCATTCCCAAGCATAATTAAAATATAGGGTGTGGAACAAGGAGCAATGTGAATTCAGACAGGTTGATTAGACTTCATTTGACTTGTTTAGAGATGAATGCTTGCAAATCATTCATATTGTTTCTCTAACAAAGTTTATACATTGTGAGTAGTTTTGACTCACTATCCCATTTTCTCCTTAGGCATTTGGATTTGATCCCAAAGTAGATAACTACATTGATAAAGCAGTTGCTGTGTTTGGTGGATTCTACATCCTCTTCTTTGTAGAAAGAATTCTTAAAATGATACTGAAGTCCTACAGCCATGTAAGTAGATCGCTAGGCATGAAGGAAAACAATCTTCCTATTTAGGCTGTTTTTGTTGGAGGCTCCTTCTTTGGGGGCTTTTAAACAGAGGCTGGGTGGCCATCTGTCAGGGGTGCTTTGAATGCATTTTTCCTACTTCTTGGCAGAGGGTTGGATTGGATGGTCCATGAGGTCTCTTCCAACTCCATGATTCTATTACTTTTTTCAAGCTTAGCATATTTATGTATTTGTACAGAAGTTAAGAATGGAGAACTGTTCGGTTTAAGTCATGACTGATTTAAACTTCCAAGTGTTTTAGACTGTAACTTTTGCATTCTCTTACCATCAGCCATGTTGGCTGGTCCTTCTGGTAGTTAAAATACAATGTCCAACAATTTATGTTAAGGAATAGAGTTAAATCCCTGGTTTAAGTCAAGATATAAAGTAGATAGCAGAGTTCCCTTCAACAAACCCAATGTGCAGAGAAAAATCAGTGAGAAAACAACCAGTAATGCAAACAACTCTGCATGCTTTTAGTATGTTCAGGGGTACCATTGTAATTGGAGGATATGTGTATGAGAAGGCTCAAAAAGTACTTTAGCGAAGAGTTTTTTTTAGTTTTGTTGGTCTCCTGATATGGTATGTGCCACTGCATTCTGTGAAATGAGGATGGGAGGAAAATGTAGATTGGATTTGGAGAAATGTAGAGAAATTGAAACTGGGATATGCAATAAAATTGGAAAATTGACGCATCTTTATTAAGTAGCAAAGGAATGGGAAAAACTTCTGTCTGTATCCACAGAAAGCCACTCTCGGTTATAGACGACGGTATTGACTATATGGGCAAATATTCTGCCCTGACTTCTGTGGAAATGATATTTCAGGAACAAAAGTCATTCTGAAGTGTGTTTGAGCACTGTTTTCTGCATTATTTTTCTCCTTAGACTGGTCATAACCATTTTGAACCTGAAGAACTGAAACCACCCTCAATTTTTCCGCTTCCTGTTGAATCCCCGAAACCCATTAATGGAACAATGTGCTATGCAAACCCAGCCGTAGCTGAGGCCAATGGAAATCTGAGTTTTGATAATGTCAGTGTGGTCTCTGGACAGGTATGAATTAACAATTCTTTATAAGAACAGTTTTACTTCTGATCCATTTTAAATGTTTTTAAAACAGTTTTCACCACATAGCTGAGCTCTTTTCAAAACTGCTGCACATTTTTTACAACTTGAATGACTGGATGAGGTTGTGGGGTGTTAAAGTATCTCAGTTTTGCCCATCAGGGCAGGGAGGTGGAAATGCAGTGGTGTATTGGGATTATACACCACTGCTGTATCCCTCAGGTGTATCTGTAGTGTAGTACTGATACAGTCTGACACCACTTTAACTGTCATACTGTGCTACCAAATCTAAGAATATCTCCATGCATACACTTCAAATGAATCTAAATGACACATTGGATTGGAGGGCTAAATGGAAGTGTTTGGGCATTAGGCTTACATGCTTACATGTATCCTCACCATCCATTTAGCCTTGCTTGCATTCAAGACAATTTTCACAGAAACCCATTTGATTTTTGTAACTTTGTATGAGGAAGTCTGAATCTATCCCAATATGTTGCAGGTATATGTCTTTAAAAACATTTTACGAGTCTGCCCCGATAGCAGAAAAAGAAGAGTGGGGAGGACTCAGCTTACACAAGGCCCCTGTGAAATGCATACATCCCAGACATATATGTGCTTGCATGGGCAATGTTGGCATGCGACATAGCATGTACCCTTAAAACAACCATGAGGTTGGAATGATCGCTTAGCTGCCATCTATCTTCAGCCCAGTTTAGAATGGAAAAGACTCATGGGAGGCAAGAGATGGATTTTCTCCTCTCTTTCTGGCTACATGGGTTATATTGCCAAATTGAAGCTCCAGTTGGCGGTGCTGCTGGATCCACTTGGATTATTTCCTCCCTCCCTTCCCAGCTCTGAGAGCTTCTTTGATGAAAGTGTGGAAAGTGTGCACCAAGCAGCAGAAACATCTTTTTATAGGAAAACCTAGCGTAAACTGAGTCTTCCCCCCTTCCCTCCTTCTTTTTGTCTTGTCAGGATTCATTAAGGAAAAATCCAGTAGGTGCTAAATGTATGATTAGCTCCCTTTCCCTCATTGCTTATTCACTAATTATATACAAAAATGGGTATTCCATTTTTTTTTTAAAAAAATCAAAATCTGAAAAACTTCTCATCCTAAGTATTTTGGTTAAGACAGACTCAGCCTGTATCCAAAACAAACAAACAAACAATAATAAAAATAGTGCTCCAATCAACTCCTGTAAGATAAACTATATATTATGCAGTGTGTTAAACCCCTATTCCGGCAGGACTGAAGACCAACAGGTCGCAGGTTCGAATTCGGGGAGAGCACGGATGAGCTCCCTCTATTAGCACCAGCTTCTCATGTGGGGACATGAGAGAAGCCTCCCACAAGGATGATAAAACATTAAAACATCTGGGCATCCTCTGGGCAATGTCCTTGCAGATGGCCAATTTTCTCACACCAGAAATGACTTGCAGTTTCTCAAGTTGCTCCTGACATGACAAAAAAACAAACAAACCAAACAAACAAAAAAAAACCAAAAACCACCCCCCCCCAAAAAAAAAAACAACCCCTGTCTATTTTTCCTGACTACATGTGCTGAGTTGATACTTGCACAATAACCCCTTCACATATTCACTTCTGGCAAAATATGCATTGACGTGTTCTTTGCTCACTCTTGTCTTTCTATGCAGAGAAACCACTTAAATATTAAGTTGAAGCCATGGTTCTCTCCAGCAGTGAGTCATTTTAAAGATATGAGTTTTTGCAATGGGCTGGGATTTGTTGGCAGAGGACCTGAGGCAATACATTCATGAAACTGAAATAAAAACCTGATCTATACATTATGAAGTATGACTAGGTAACTCTCCTGAGGTGGTGAAATTATCCTTTTACACAAAACCACCTGCAGATAGAAGATAGGTTTAAGTGGAAAAGAGGGGACAAAGAATATATTTCTTAAAAAAAACCAATGGTTTAAATAAATGACAGGATGTTGAGTTAAAAGGGATCCCCTGAAAGCAAGAGAACAGGTTGCTGAATGAAGAGGCCGGTAGAGACATAATAGAAAGGCATAATTAAGAAATCATATCAACAATGTGAGCTCAGGATTGAGAAACTAACCCGGAAGATGCAGGACATGCAAACCTTTAGGTTTCATATTATTTCTATGCAGAGGGGAGATGATTGCAGTATTCAAGGAATGTGCACTTTGATAGTCTTGGGGCCATGGCAAATACACAGCCATGCCCAGAAACATATATCTCAACATGACCAAGGAATATTCAGAAAGCTGTTTGGAGCTATTCTGGCACACTGGAAAATATTTTTGATAGCTCAGCACAAGACCACCAATGCATCAATCTCTCAAGTTGAACCCTGCCTAATATGATAGGATAACAATTGTATTTATCTTTTGTGAGTGTAGGTATCTTTGTTCCCCCTTTTTAAAATGTCTGGACTGTTTCTTTTGGTTCAATCTCTGCCAATTTGCCAGATTTCTTTAAATTTTGCAGGCACAAACTTGAGCATCTCTTGTCTGCTCTACACAAAGTATGTTGTTAGGAAGACTGTAAAGTTGAATAATAAGGAAAGGAACAATGTACAGTGCTTCCCTTAACACATCTCAAGAAGTTTTGCATTACCATTCGGAGTCAGAGGCTTGATACTCCATCACATCCTTATAGGACTCCACTGTGGAGGTTACATAAAGCTCAGGGAGTTCAGTAAGGGCCTGGAAAAGGCTGAACATGTAACTTAAAAAAATATGCAGCAGAAGTCTTGCAAAATGACTCGGATGGGGAAACTGGCTCCTTCATTTGAACCGTATGTGTTCTCTTTGTCAAGTTTTGTCTTATCTGCTTCTAAGGAAACCATTGTCCTAGATGTTATCCCTCACATGAATGGCTTTTGTAAAGATAGTTGTTTGTGATTCACTTTTAAAGTAACCTGGATGTATTTGTTTTCTTTTGGAGTATTCTGTTGCATATTCAGTAATGACAAGGGACTTTGTCAGGTTAGGGTGAATGTATTCCTGTATTTTCTCCAGTGTGTTCTTCGGCATAGGTAAAGGTTTTCACCTGACATTAATTAAGGCCAGTCATGTCTGACTCTGGGGGTTGGTGCTCATCTCCATTTCTAAGCTGAAGAGCCAGCATTGTCTGTAGACAACTCCAAGGTCATGCAGTCATGTGGCTGGCATGACTGTATGGAGCACTGTTACCTTCCTGCTGGAATGGTACCTATTGATCTACTCACATTTGCATGTTTTGAACTGCTAGGTTGGCAGAAGCTGGGGCTAACAGCGGGAGCTCACGCTGCTCCCCAAATTTGAACCTGCAACCTTTCAGTCAACAAGTTCAGCAGTTCCGCATTTTAACCCACTGCACCACTGGGGGCTCTGTTCTGTTCTCCAGCATTAACAACAATAACAATAATAACAATACTTTATTTATATTCCACCCTTTCCCCGAAGGGCACTCAGGGCAGATCCCAACATTCAATGGCAAACATTCAATGCCTCCATAAACAGATAAATATCAGCATAATAATCCTAGAGGAACCCCACATATCAAAACAGCCTAAGAGCCTAACATCATTAAATTAAACCCAATGTAATCAAACAAAATTGCATAATGGCATAAAATCTAAAGATAAAAAAAATTACCTTGATATATAGAAGCCAGCTATCATTCATCAAGTTGTGTGGGTTGGTTGTGTAGCTAGTGATGGTAAGTGGGCTAGCATAAACTAGATTGAGTCCAGATACTAAATGGTACTCGACCAGAGGTCTGGTAGTGATCTCTCATTGTCTAATCCTCCTCCTTTCTGTATGCTAATGAGCAGAAGTAAATCTTTAGTTGTTTTTGGAAGGAGAAGAGGGAGAGGGGGCCAGCTTTATTTCTTTATGGAGGAGCAACCATGGAGAAGGCCCTCTCTCTCGTCGTACTGAACCAAAAGAAACAGTCTAGACACTTTAAAAGGAGGAGACAAAGATATCCACACTTCCAAAAGATAAATACAATTTTTATCCTATCAGATTAGGCAGGGTTCAACTTGAGAGATGAATGCATTGGTGCTCTTGTGCTGAGCCAGTGTGCCAGAATAGCTCCAGACAGCTTTCTAAATATTCTGTAGTGCACAGCTTGTGCAGGAAAATATTTCACTGTTTTATATCATTATTCTGCTATTGCTATGCTCCAGCAATAGAAGTAAAATATGCTTTTGGATTGCTAAAGGATTGCCCAGCCAAGGTATTATTACTTTATATACTTGGCTGACAATTTTATGACTTGTCTAACAATGTTGAGTCATTCACAGCGTTGCAGAGAAATGTTTTATATAAAAATAAGTGGTTTTGTATATTTTAAGTCACAAATGCTAAAAAATCATTGAGAAGGGTGCAAAAACGGTTACGATGTTGCTTAAATAGGCGTGAGTATATATTTTCAAAAAGTATTTGTCATACACCTTCATCACAACTGACCTAGGTTGCATTGATTTCATTGGCTCCTTTCTAAATATGGATAAATCAGAGTCCAGCCTCACATAAACCTGAGAGATTTCAGGTGACCCAGTTCTCCAAGTAGGCCTTCCGAACTCATCTGCCTCTACATCCCATCTCGCAACCTAAGATCAGCCGGGGAGACCCTGCTCTCGCTTCCGTCAACATCGCAAATGCATTTGGTGGGGATGAGAGACAGGGCCTTCTCGGCTGTGGCCCCCCGCCTATGGAATGCACTCCCAAATGAAATAAGATCGACTCCATCCCTCCTGGCTTTCAAAAAAAATTAAAATCCTGGTTTTGGGACCAGGCCTTCGGGCAGCAGACGTAATTTGCACCACAATGGACATTGACTGGAATGGCGTTGCGGCAGATGACATTGTGATTTTATTTTATTGTTTTAATTAATGTTATATGTATTGGTTTTAATGATTGTTTTGTATTTGGTTGTGTTATATTATTGTAATTGTGATGCAGCAGTCTTGCACTGTTACTAGTGTAAGCCATCCTGTGTCCCCCTTCGGGAGTTGAGAAGAGATGGGGTACAAATGCCAGTAATAAATAGTAATAAATAATTCTGGCCAAGGAAGAATTGAATATCAGATGAGGTCTAACATCTTGGTTGTAACAACTTTGAAATCCATGTGGCATTGAATCCACCAGAAAATAAGTTGCCTGAACAAATTCAGAACACCGTGGAGTCATGGTCTATGACCAAATATAAAATAAGATAAAATGTTTTATTTGCAGAGTGGCATCTTGAACAATCTAGTTCCACTAAATGTGTGTATTATGTGCCTTTAAGTTATTAGTTGATTTAGTATGACTTCATGAATTTCATAGGGTTTCTTAAGGCAGATAATATTCAGAGATGGTTTTGCCAGTTCTTTCATCTAAAATATAGCTTACAGCAACTATTATTCATTGGTGGTTTCCCATCCAAGTGCTAACCAGAACTAGATACTCTTGAGCAAAAACTGCAGTCCTCTTTTCAACACTTACCCCAAAGTACTTATAGAGTGATTTATGCTTTGTGCTCTTTGTTCCTATGCAGTGTATGTTCTGGGAGGGGGAAGAAGACTTGGAATGTCTGTAATTTAGCATTTCCTAAAATATGTGGATGAAAGCTATTGGCTTTCTTATATCCATTTAAGGCATCAGGTAACAGATTTTGCTTCTATTTCTACAGAAAGATGAAACTCCAAGCAGTTCATGCAAATGTTTCAATGGACCTTCATTGTCACAGATTGGCACAATTGCCTGGATGATCACACTGAGTGATGCCCTGCACAACTTCATTGATGGATTAGCAATCGGGGCATCCTTCACACTCTCCCTGTTGCAGGGAATTAGCACATCTATAGCAATCTTGTGTGAAGAATTTCCTCATGAACTGGGTAAGATAACACTGTTGTTGCATTTGGGGAATACAATTATGGTATTTTTTTCCTAATTTTTGTACGTATTTCAAATATTACTAAAATTATCTTTGAAAAACATTGTACCAATATCACTTCTGATTAATCTTCTTTTGTCCCCCCTCTCCCAATTTCCAGGAGATTTTGTCATCCTTCTTAATGCAGGCATGAGCACACGTCAAGCCTTGTTTTTCAATTTTCTGTCAGCATGCTCCTGCTATCTTGGACTAGCTTTTGGTATAATAGTGGGCAATAACTTTGCTCCAAACATTATCTTTGCAATTGCTGGAGGCATGTTCCTATACATTTCCCTGGCAGATATGGTAAGTTTCCACTATGCTTTCCTTGCATGACACAAAAGAACATGAATGCTTACATGGTTGTATTATATAGAAATATACTTGTAAGAGGAAGTTGTGAAATCATGGAATGTTTATCATTAGCACAAAACTAATTTCTTGTGAGAATGGGTTTCCTTTCAAAATAATTACTTCATTCTACTTTTCTCTATTAGCCACTTTAGCTACAATCCGTTCTCATGCTAAGTTTTCAAAGTTAATGTGAATCCTGTTGGTAGAATTTGAAGTATTTTGTTATGCTCTACCTTTTATCCAAAGCTGGGAGTCAAGGTGGTTTGTAAAATGAAAAAAATATGTAATATATTCCAGAAGAGGGAGCTGTATCTATTCACATTCTTCTTGCCGTTAACACCAGAAGTCCTCCTTAGTAAACCAGCATCCAGTTAGGTACATTTAGGAAAAGGTAATTAGCTGACTGTGACCACAGTTGTGTGCCAAGAGGTTCATAAAATCCTCCAGACCAGAATGTCAAGGTTTGCTGGATGGGACAGAAAAAGAAGAGCACTTTGTTATAGAGATGGTTTATAAGAGATCTTCTAAATGTATCTTTTTGCGTACCTAATGTGGTCCTGCTTCTAGAAACGGGTGAATGCCCACTGAGTACTAGGGCCTGGACTCTGAAAATGAACCTATGGTTTTCAAACTGGGAACTGGTTTACTCCCTCCCCAAGGACATCAGACAAGCCCCAACGTTGGCAGTCTTTAGGAAGAGCTTGAAGACGTGGCTGTTCCAGTGTGCCTTTCCAGAATAGGAAACTCCTAGCATCATGTCCCAAATGCACTTTATTAGAGATTTAAGATTGTCTGCACACCACACCTACCTCTAAAAACCTATACATTTCACCTGTCACGTCCAGCACTTTTAAAATTTTATTCATTACATTTGGCCCGACCTTCAGTTTTAAATGTGTTGTGGTGTTATTGTTCTAATGTTTATTGTTATTGCTTTAATGTTTATTGTTTGCTTTATGAGTTTTATTGTTGTATTTGTTATGCTGTTGTTTTATTGAGGGTCTTGGCCTTTTGTAAGCCTCACCGAGTCCTTCGGGAGATGTTAGCGGGATATAAATAAAGATAATAATAATAATAATAATAATAATAATAATAATAATAATACATCACCTACCTTATGAAGCCCTGAAACCCCTTTGGTCATGGAGGACTGAACAAAAAGCAGYCTTAATTGGACTATCCGCGTTCCTTCTGCTCCGTTTGAGACTCAAAATGGTGCAAGAATTCCTGAAGCAAAGGTTGTGGGACATTGCCCTGGGAGAGCTTAGAGCCCAGTCAAATTCACTATGCTCCCCGAGAGTTCTAAATTTACCATACAGGGAGCCATTTAAGATATGTGAATACCAAAAAGCCTCACGGTGACTAAATATCYCAGACTCTTTACAAAGGCGAGATTAAATGAATTTCCCTCAGAGCTGCTAAGAGGCTGACTGGAATTCCTTACTCCCAAAGACTATGCCCCTGTGGAGGAAATGAAATAGAAACAATAGAACACATTTTATTGCAGTTTCGCTACTGCACAGTGCAATGTAGCCAACTTTTATATCCAATCCTGTCCAGCATGACCAGCCATCTCCTGCAGAGGATTGTTAGATATCTTTTAGAGGACAAGTGCCACAGGGTGACTCTTATAGTGGCAAAATTCCTCGCAGTGGCAATCAGGCTGAGAAAGCAACTAACCTCCAATAGGGGTATTACTTGAAACCATATAGATTTATCCTGTACAACAGACTTTTCCTGAGATGAGAAAATTTGGTTTTACTGAGGGGTCTATGGACCGTAATAAAATTAGCTAACCAACTTTATTATAGAGATGGAGGTATTGTGTACAGAAGAAAACTCCTGGACCTGTAGATGCAGGTTTTTCAGCCAATAGATTCCAGGAAGACCCTGGGTCAAAGCCACTAAACGTCCCTTTTAACTTTACATATTTAAAGTGGGTTGGAGTAATTTGCTAGCATGTTCCCAGGTAAAAGTGGCCTATAGAATGAGAGATGATAAACAACATTGGGAAGAGGTATATGTATCCATTTGATGTAGGCAAGTGTGTGGAAACTTGTGATACCAAGAGTTTAATTCAAAAATGGCATCATACTATCACAACTAAACTGAAGATCAATAATTAGAAAAGAAAGGATGGAAAAAACAACTTAATAGATAAGATTTCAGTGCATCTATTTTCAGGAGATGCATTCATCTCCAAATAAGAGAATGAGAGCTGAATGGACTAGCACTAGAGACATGGTAGATTTCATGAGTCTTGCGGTACAGTAAATACTTCCTTCCTTTGTGTGTGATGAGACAAGTATTTTCCCATCTAAAAAGGAAAGATAGCTCTGTTGGTGTAAAGGGTAAAGAGCATCCAAGGAGACTACAGCTGATCTCTCTGCATCATTTCTGTCTTAGCCTTTATTTGCACCCCTGTTTTTAACCTCACTGTGTCACAGGTTATAGGTTTCTCTGTCTAGCTTTCAAATCTCTCTGTCTTTATATTTCTAGACCTGAACCTTTCATGCAATATCTGAATAAAAAGTAAATAATGTGTGTGAATGGTCAGTACAGAATCCCGCTTTTCTGCTGAATTCTACCCTGTTCTTCTCTATTTTAAACAGGTAGGATTTGTTAAAACTCCTGTTTTCCATTCTTCTTGTCCTTTTTCTTGCTTCTTCTCTCTAGATTGTACATTATGAAAGATGTATAGGTAGGTAGTAGGAGTCTGGTTTGGGCCCCATGCAGGGCATTGTCTATTAGAATGCTTTCTCATCAGAAGACCTTTGTCTGTACTATGGTCACTAAACATTAACTGATTGAAGGTTAGTAAGTCTCACACAGGATAGAAGGTCTTGACTCTTTAGAAAAGTAGAGAGGTCCTGGGATCTCAAGAGAAAGATGAGCATGCAGAAGGAGGTCATTAATGCAATTACATAAGCCAAGAGCAAGTTAATTGTTATCTAATCAAAGACAGAGCAAGCCCTACACATGTTCCTACCAATGACAGAGTAGCAAATTGTGTCTCTTTCACAATGTCATATTAGCATAAATAATTTAGGAGCCCCCCTGAACAAGCCAGCAGTCCTCTAGTTTAATATCCGCTGCTTCTTTGGAAGTCTTCTAACAGAGGTTGGACGGCCATCACCCAGGACTGCTCTAGTTTTGTACATCTGCATGGCAGGGCATTGGACTTGCAATCCCTTATAGCTCTATGCTTCCATGATTCTGTCTTACCTATTCTAGTAGCTTGCAATCCAAAAAGGGCTGTGAAAGCAAATGTTCTCCCCAACTATGTAATCTCTAGATTGAACACTGACAATTAAGTTATTAAATGTAATAGTCATATGTAAGATAAATATGCCCAGGCCCCTTTTAATGCTATGTGAGATTACCACTCTTCTTGTCTCAACAAAATTCAGACAGTGCGGTACATAATACAATGTAACATATCAAAATTACTGTGAACATTTGGTCTTCTTTGCATTTGGAAACTGTACTGTTTGGGATTACAAGTCTCAGAAGCCTTTTCCTGGCATCACAATACTGCAGTTTGGAGAAAGTTGAGGCACAGGAACATCACCTTGTTTGGTAGAAGCCTAAAATTTGATGGCAAGGATAGTGGTTAGATAGTTTGACATAACCCAGGGATAACTTTTTTGAATCCCAGTTGCAGATGTTGGGCACATCTTGGATAGGTTTTTATGGTGGACCAGGCTGAGCTAGTGTTCTCGGCTACCCACAGAGAGACAGTTTAGTAATCATTCCATCATCATGGATATTCACAACTATATCCACACTTTGATAATATCCTGTAGTATTCTTTCATGCAGTTGTTGATGATTTGTGTTTGATGACAAGTCTGAAAAGTTACATAAGGAGCCATAAAGGCCTGAAGTTACTACCAAGATCATAGTTAGAAGTGACTGCAAGAATCACACAGTCCAATACTTAAACTTGCCTAGTTGAAGTCCCATTTTGATGCACTTGGTGGTATTCCTGGTAGCTTGCATAAGGAAGCTGTGAACTGTGATTTGGCAATCAAACTACAGGAAAGGAGATTCCACCTGAACATGAGGAAGAACATCCTAACTTTGAGAGCTGTTCAGCACTGGAACTCTCTTCCCTGGAATGTGGTGAAGGCTTCTTTGGAGGCTTTTAAACAGAGGCTGGATGGCCATCTGTCGGGGGTGCTTTGAATGCGATTTTCCTGCATCTTGGCAGGGGGTTGGACTGGCTGGCCCACGAAGTCTCTTCCAACTATGATTCTATGATTGTACTGAATTGAATACCATAATTAAGATGTAGAACCTTTCTGAGGCATATAAACAAGTATTAAATTCTATAACATCATCTCCTCAATTCACAGACAAAATGGAACATTTGGACCAGCCAGGTTTGGTGTGATTACTGGGCAGTGTCTACCCCCAGGCCACTTGTGCCCCCAGACACTTTTTGTGGCTTTTGACCCCTTTAGATTTCTCATAATGCCATTTTTCTGACAAGAAAAGATGAATTACCTCTGCTGAAAGTTTTCAGAAGCAGGAACACAATTTTAGAAGGTTTCAGTAGTCATTGTGTGTGTATACACTTGGTTTGGATTTGGGGCTTTGACAGTCCACGTGGCCCCTAAAAATTCCTCCCTTGATTTACTGCCATTGCCCATACCAATAGGGGTGAGCAAAGTGTAGTTCATTGCAGATGTTGTTGCATTCCTAATTTCCTTGCGTAACACAACCAATGGTGGGATATGTTGTCCAGTGGGGAGGGCATATTTTGCCTTCCTATCTTGTAGTTGCTTTTCAGATGTGTCACCTCTGAACCTCTAGTTAAGCAGCTGAAACCTTGGGTGAACAAAAAATCACACCTTGACTAATAAGCAAGAAGACATCATTAGGACTGGCCCCAATTTTTTTGCTGCCTCGCGTTGAGCAGTAAATATTGCTTTCAAACCTAAAAGTCAAAGTCCATCAGCAACTGAGTTCTTTTTGGCACCAGAGGCAGAAAATCCTGTTCTTCTCTCCAGCAGCAAAGTAAACACTCAAGAATAATAATTCCACTATCTCTCCCATGTTCTGCCTTTGCGTGACATCCCAAATCTGCTGCTCGAGGTATCTGCCTTATTTTCTAAAATAGTAGAGTTTGTCTTGCCTCCCTCTTCCGATTCTTAGGAATATGGAATGCAACATAATGTATTTGACTTTTTCTGCCCTTTCCTGACCTCCTTCCCCCCATCATCATGATGCTTGAGTTAATCCCTTCACTGCTGCTCAATGCGAGGAGCCCTGCCCTGTAAAAGGGGGATATTTTATGGTAATGACGACGACAACTGAGTTCATCATTATTCTTAGCTTTATTGAAGAGACTTTAACAATGATGAGAGGTGGCAGCAATAAAGGCTGTCATCTGTCTCCAATGGATTTTATTACCCCAGTAATAGAAAAATTTCCTTCTGTTCCCAAAAATTCAATTGTGTTTGGAGAATACAATTTCTGGACTCCTTAAGTTTCAGGAGGCTTTGAAGACTTTGAATTTGATCCTACCTCATCTTTTGATAAGCAGCCAGTGCAGCAATTTTGTTGATCTGTATTTGTCAGCACTTTGCAGTATCTGAAGTTTCTTCAGTGTCTTTGAATTAATTTCCAAGGAGAGTATGCACAATGATCAACAGCAAGTAAGTGTGTTTACCTGCCAGAATAGAAACAGCTTCTGTGAATTGTTTTCTAAAGAATCTTTCTATTCTGCCTGAAGTCTGCTGATGTGCGAATATGTATGAGGGTGGATGAGCGCACTGCATATGCCTTTGTCATAGAATCAAGTTTTGTTGTACAAAATATCTCATATATTACTTGGGTCCTTGGCAATTACAATTATAGTTAAAAGCCATATTTCTAGACCTCACAACTTCTGAGGGTGCCTGCCATAGATGCAGGTGAAACATCAGGAGAGAATGCTTCTAGAACATGGCGTTAGAGCCTGGAAAACTCACAACAACTCAGTAGTTCTGGCCATGAAAGCCTTTGACAATACATATTTCAAGTTACCACAGCCTTCTACAATACATATTTCTAGTTATCAAAAATAGCATGGAATGAAATAGCAAATTCTGACATGTGGACATCATTCTGGTAGACATAGGCTCATAACTACTGCATCCAGTGGAAGTGGCTGAACAAACGTTGGACCTTTGGTTTATGAGTTATCTAACACAGGAGTCCCTGGTGGTGCAGTGGGTTAAACCACTGAGCTGCTAAACTTGTTGACTGAAAGGTTGCAGGTTCAAATCCGGGGAACTATGAGGGCTTTTGCTGTCAGCCCCAGCTTCTGCTAACCTAGCAGTTCAAAAACATGCGAATGTGAGTACATCAATAGGTACCTCTCCGGTGCGAAGGTATCGGCTCTCCATGCAGTCATACTGGCCACATGACCTTGGAGGTGTCTATGGACAATGCTGGCTCTTCGGCTTAGAAATGGAGATGAGCACCAATACCCAGAGTTGGACACGACTGGACTTAATGTCAGGGGAAATCCTTTACCTTTAACACAGGTCTATGCCTATCTCTCCAAAAACCCCATCCTCCCCCATTTTAGTGACTTTTTAACCCTATGCTGCAGCAAAATATATTTGCTCCTGGTGCCTCACCCAAGTCCCCTCCCGCAGTAACTGCAGAGTTTATACCTCCCAAAAAGCAATTGAAAACTGACTGAAAATTAAGCTGAAAGTGATGACATGGCACTTCTTATAATGGTAGAGACACTGATACAGCTCCTGGGGTGAAGTAGTAGAAATATCTTCTGTTCTCTCTGCCCTCATAATGTCTACTCTCATAAGGTGACGTAAACACTTGGTAACAGAAAAACATTCTCCTTTCTTCTCCAGTAAGGCAGAGTAACAAGCCCAAGAGCAGAACCTCTTATTCTGGGAGGTAAATAAGTCAGAGCACCAAATTATACCTAGTTCAGCCTCATTTTAAATTAATGTAATTTATTTAGCTCCTCCCACAGCAAGGGTGAGTAATGGGCAGTGGATGTTAAGTCAGGGTTTCCCTGGAATATTCTGATGTGTACATCATGTAAACAAGAAATGTCAGAGCCTATTTTACTTAGATTCTGTTCTATTCCTTTGCCTAAAAGGACCACAATAGTTTTAGAAATATTTTATATTGCACAATACTTTCTGCACAAGGCAGAATCCCTCTTGCAGAAGTGGTTGCTCTGCTATGGAAACCTATCCCTCTGCTTGCATTATATTCTGATCCACAAGTGGATTGATGCAATAGGATCTTGGCTTGGAAAGACAAGTAGCCCAAAGTCAATGAGAATGGCAGCTTATTCAAAAATTATATTCTGCAGCTAGATTATTGAATTTGCAATCCACCTTTATGCCAAAGACCTGCCCTGTTTCTATATAAGCAGTTCACATGATGTATGGCCGTTTACAGAGCAGATGTACTTTCTTGAGTGCATCTGAAGTGACCTCGGGTGGTTTTTTTATTTTTTGATGCTGGATCTGGGGTAATCTGGTGTTCATGTGTCAAAAAGACCCTCTGCTTTTTTTCCTGGCCAGAAGCAGCTCCACAGTGGACGCTTGCTGGCAGTGTTGCTTCTGGCAATCACAAGACTGAGCACCATGTTTTGATGCCACCAGAAGTGACGTCACCAGCAAGGCTGTGCTGGGGAGCTGCTTTTGGATAGTGGCCCAGGATGTCAGGGCACCAGTGCTGAGGTGTTGTTGGCCCAGTTGATCATGTGGACTGCAATACCACTTCAGGGCACTTGCACTGTAGGATACTACTCCCAAGTATTTTGCATGGTGTAGATGCAGCCTTGATGTAAACAACTAAAGAATATAAGAGGTGTTGTGGAAACTACAAGCCAAATTGGTGATGTATTGGTGATAAAGCTTCAATGGATACACCTTTCCCCCATGGCAACTCCTCCGTGATCTTCTCTCACTTCCAGTTGTTTCACCCCATTCTTAACTATGAGTCATATGTAAGTTGGATGTTTGTAACTTGGGGACTGCCTGTATATGTTACAACTCAATCGTATCCAGTATAAAGACAAATAAGAAAGACCTTCAGGGAACTGCTGCAAGCTGTTGAAAGGAAGGACTAGTAACCAGCAGGAGTGGTCTCGGTTATGTTTCTGGGAGATTCTGGGGATTTTAGTTCTATAATTTTGCTTTTCTAAACTTTGGTCAACATGTCCAAATATGTTGTCTTTTCTACCTAATACCAACAACTACTAACAGATGAGTGTATACATGCCTGTGTGATTCATGAAGAGTCCCTGCTTTTCACCAACACCAACTCCATAGTGCCACAGAGTTAAGGTTGAATTCACTTCCTCATTAATTGGCCTGTCACAATGGCCAATAATTTACTTTAAATGACAGCTCCATTTAGCCCAGGACTTTCCTATCAGTGCAACCCTACCCATGATAAACCAATATAAATAATATGGTCATGAGCTCTGTGTTGCTAACACATCAAAGGCAACCCATTGAGGTATTCTTCCACAAAAGGTGAACAGAAAAAGTCCTCATAATATTAGAGGGAGTCTTAGAAAGGAATACGTAGTAAAACAGGCCATTTAGGTTGCTCATTTCCAAGTAATCAATCAGACACAGCATCCCAGTTAAGTATAGCCCCAAATCATTGTTTTTCAAGTGACTTGGGAACCAAATCCAATTTCATGAAGCAATGTAAAATAAATCAGTGGATGCATTTAAAAATATGCTGTTGTGCAATGTTCTGCCAGCAGATGGCAAAACCTACCTAAAAATATTTCTCTTTCTCTTCCCTTTTCCATCTTTGTAGTTCCCAGAGATGAATGACATGACAAGAGAGAAGGTAACTGGAAGGAAAACTGATCTAGGCTTTTTCCTTATCCAAAATGCTGGCCTGCTCACAGGATTTGCTGCCATCCTGCTGATCACATTGTACGCAGGAAACATTGAACTGGAATGATGTGATAACGAAGAGATGAGGAAGATGAGGATGAGGATGAAGACACTAAGTAAAATTTAAAAATGGAAGAACTTTTGAACTCTGTAAAGGGACTTGGACGACATAAAGGATTTGTTACAACATCTTCAGTCATTTTGAAATGAAACAAAACTATTTTTCATACAGATCTCCAAAACTGGTACTAAGATCGAGGTTTTCCTTCAACATCTATATTATGGTCAATGTTTTTGCAAAACTCCACTGCAGACTTCAAAGTGAGAGCTCTGGTTGGTTCAAGGAGACTGTTTGCCTGCAAAAATCTGCACTTTTCAGTCGTGTCATTCAGAGCTCTCAACTGAGACATTTGTACTTTTAACTGCAAAATCATCAGGGTGCCTTTGTCATTGTAGACCAAATGCACTATATTTTTCTTAAGTGTTATTAATTTGCAGGATGTTGCAGGTTAAAATAAACTAGGTTTTTAGGAAAAGCCTGAAAACTATTTCTTAATAGGTTTGGCTCACTGATGTTTGGCGTAAAACCCAGAATGGATTTACAATCATACTGACATGGAAACAGTGGGTTAAACTGCTGAGCTTCTGAACTTGCTGACCGAAAGCTTGGCGGTTCAAATCCGGGGAGCGGGATGAGCGCCTACTGTTAGGGCCAGCTTCTGCCAACCTAGCAGTTGACCTTCTGCCAACCTAGCAATGATTCAATTGGGAATGAACTCACATTGTATCTCCCCTGTTCTTGGATCCTGGGGTCTCACAGACTCTTCTGGCTTCCTCACTCCCATTGGACAATGAGTAGAAATTGCTATACTTCTGTGCAGTGTTGTGAACTCATCGAAATGATTTTTCTCTTTATCTTCAGGAGATAAAAATCCCATGGCCCTTGTGCACCCTCCTACAAATCAATGGATTCTTGCTTTAGCTGACAAAGCCATTTAATGCGATGCCACCATCTCCAGAAGAGCTACAGACATATTGTAACTGATACCAGCTGCAGCTTCAAAATAAGTTTGAGTTTTCTCCCCCCCTTTTTTAAAAAATAAACTCATTTCAGCAAGTTTGCATACATGATGCAAAGATTCCAGTTACTAATTAACACTAATTAATTATACCACTTACTGCTTTTGATCTTCCTCTTTCAAGGGGACCGTGGGTTTATAGGAATGGCATTTCTTAATAAGTGAATACTCTGATGCTAACATTTCAACAATTTCATATACATGTTATGCCTAAAACTCCATAGCCTTTAAAACTGATTAAAATGTAAGTGTTTTTAATGCCACGGCGCACAGTTTAGTGCATCTGAAATGAAACGGTGCCGAACTGCAATTGCTCTTGTCGCAAGTGAATTTTCTGAAGCTTCATATGACAACTTCCATAGAAATTCATCCACTCAGAGTAGCGGCAATGGTTGTGGGTGAATTGCAGTCCTATATGTGACCCAGGACCTTATCACACTGGGATATAATCCATTTATATCAGTATGCATCCCATATTTTTTAAGGACTGGATGCATACTGTATTGAGATGGGATGCATACTCTCCTCATCACACCTGATTATTACAGTTCTTATGATTTGAAAATACTGTGATTTGATTAATCATGCCATGGAAGGCTGGCTCCTCCTAATCCATTCAAAACACCCCTTACATCATTCTAGGGCCTTTAAAAAAATATGCATACAGATTTTCCGATCATGCACAAAACAGTGCTTCAGCAATGGAAGAATCCGTAGTATTTCAAAAAACATAATTAGAATTCCGTTTGCAAATAATCTATTTTTTGTGATGCTTTGCATATATATTCTGACAGAATACTGATGGGGTGGGGCAAACGTCATGTGATGGGACCCTTTTGAAATCATTCTCAAACAGTCCCAGAAATGGAGTGTTTTCTAATGTGATAAGGTCCCAAGTCTTTAGTTATTTGCTGGCTGTGGAAGTTCTGATTCAGGCCAGCCTAAAACATTTTGCTGTAGGAGATTTACAACAAGATGGCACTTCTCCACTTCTTGTACAAAAGCCAACTGGATTGGCAGTTAAGCCTTATTTCTACACTGATACTGGAAGAACATTTTGCACTGCACCAGAAGGCAGCAGAGGAACAGGGCAGAATGCTTTGCACAAATCTGCCTCCTAAAATTCATTCCAGGATCTGACACTTGAGGTGACGCTCTCACTTTGACCAGTGGTGGGGTGGTGATGGTCCTTCTCCCACAGGCATGGCAGATTAACCTTAAAAGGCAATATAGCTTCATGCCTTCAAACCAAGCATGGAAGATTGTACATGTAAGAATTCTGTATCAGTGTCAGATCTGGATTTGGGATATGAATTAAGGCTGCTAACTCACTGTACAAGCTTTTGCTTTATGATAATACAAAGTTGTCTCACAGCTGGAATGGGAATTGTTCAGCTCTCCAGCGGTGCTGAGTGGTACAGCCTTTGGCAAGTAATGCTGGGATTTGTAGTCCAACCATTTCTGGGAGGCTGTTCAATTGACTTTTGCGAGACTAGGCCTGGTATCTGAACATCTTTATACCAGGATTAAGACTGTAAGATTCTAAAGGTTTTTTTTATTAGAATCCAATTCTAGCCAGACAAAGATGAAGGATTATGTGCATTCTTCATGTTTACAGTCCTCAGGTTATTCACCCAAAGGTATTGAGACTGGCTCGATACAGCACAATGCTGTATTATTATGCATAGTGTTTATATGCAAATACATTCAGCAAGAAGAATTCATAGTTATCAAACTGTAGAATGGGGCATGGATCAATGACCGCAAGAATACAACATTGTATTCTTGCAGTCATTGATCCATGCCCCATTCTACATTTTGATAAATATGAATTCTTCTTGCTATAATTTAGTTTGTGCTAATTGTACATTGCCTGCACTCCAAAATCTGTTCAAATGAGTAAACAACAACAACAACAACAACAGTTTGATAACTGCAGGTAGGAATGAAAGAGTAAAATTAATATCATATTTCTCTTCCATTCCTATTGCTGTTTGGAGGAAGAGAGTAATATTTATTACAAAATTATCTATATTTTCCATGCTGCTAGAAAACTATAATGATTTCACAACTCTGAGGCTATCGGTGCGAATACTTCTCTGCCTGCCTTTGGAGCTGAGATTGGACCTTTTCTCATTTACTGTTAAAATGTTTTTTTGTGAAGCAATAAATTCATTTGTGGAACACTGAAATTGCCTGCCGAAAGAGTGTACAGCTTTTAAATTAAATAATTATCATACATCACCAACATACACAAGATGCATATATGCATGTATGCTTCTACTTCATGGCCTTAAGTCAAATCATGAGTAGATAGTGCAGTCAATAAAATTAAGATGATTGTGTGTAGAATGCAATTTAAATGTCAATTACTTTGGGCTAACATGAAAATAACAGTCCAAGCTTCTTAGACTATAGTTTGAAAAGATCATCAAGCCATTCTACTTCCATTGTCTTCTCTTCTTCATGCCAGCTTAATCACTTTGAATTTGATCTGTTCCCCTGGTTGAATTATCTTTCCTAAAGATAATTCTGGGTCATTCTTACTTGGATCTTCGAGGGAGCAGATGTGTGCATTGGAGGATGATGCCCAGGAAGAATGTTGGTGGTCCCAAGGGCAAGGGCCCAGCAAAAAGACAGCTGGCCAAACGCCCTCCTTCTCCCAACATTTCTTCATCATATGAAGATGACATCATGATGGAAGCATTCAAGGCCCTTGTGGCATGAGTTAATGCTCTTGGTGCACACCCAGGGCACCCCCCCCCTTTGGGGTGAAGGTCATTAACGCAAACTATCACCGATTGTTCAATTAGCCAAGGTAAGGATAAAAGACAAATGGCCTTGAAATGGGAGGAGTCTGGCCTCAACATCCTTGGGGAAGATTTCTCCATATGTTTCCCTTTAAGGTTGTCCAGGTTAGGTCAGCAGGGGACCCAAGTCTTGTGCCCTAAGGAGCCAAGGGGTAGGCCAGAAAGGGATGCTACCTCGGCTGTTTTCACACCTAATTCAGGTCACCTTAGGTAACAGTTAATAAAAGTTGCCCATATTTCAATCCATATCTATTGTGTGGTCTCATTATTTCAGGGGTTGGCAGGCAAATGGGGAACACTTAATTTATTGTATGGTTGTTGTTTGTTATTGTTCTGTGCCTCCATGTCATTTCTGATTTACAGTGAACCTATCATGTAGTGCAGAGGAAGGTTTGTCTTTGTTTTCCTCTGAGATTGACATCCCAGAGTCATCCAGTAGATTTCCATGTTTGAATGAGGATTCAAAGCCTGGTCTTCAGAGCCATAGTCCAATACTCAAACCATTACACCAAATCACTCAGTGTTTTTATTTACATTCAATGATTTTAAATTGTGATTTGATCTGAATTTGGAAATGCTCCTTTTTGGACTATATATCTCAAAAGCCCCTATCAAGAATAATGGTCCTGGAGTTGAAGATCAACAAGTTACTTTTCTGTCCTCTTGGAACAGTCCATAATTCTGGTGTAATGTAGTACCTAAAGGACTGAACTTCAAATTAGAACATCCCTAGTTTGAATCTTCATCATGAGTGCTGATAAATTGACTTTTCTTTCAGGATTGTTATGAGAATTGCAATGTGAAAATAGAAGTGAACTCGAAGGCACTATTTCAAATGTTCAGTCTTATTTATTTTATTTATTTCGAACATTTTTACCCCGCCCTTCTCAACCCCTGGGGGGACTCAGGGCAGCTTTATCCTTAACACTGATCTCCATTTGTTGTTCTATCATTCAGTAAATCATTGGCAGTATCAGAGAAGTTCTAATCCCAGTATTCTTACAAAATACAAAATCCTGTTAGATTCTTCGGAACCAGAGAGAGGTCCACTGCACTTTGCAGAGACCTTCAATGAGTGTTTATGTGTTCTGTCAAACCAGTGATTCCCAACCTGTGGTCCATGGACCACCAATGGTCCGCAAGAATTAAAATATGGTCTGCAGCCTCACCATTACTACACTGTTGCAAAGAGAGTGACTGGTCTCACAAAACCTTGTTATAGTGCCAAGGCTTATTAAATATGGTTTTCTGTGGGTGAGCAGATGGCGACTATTGGATGGCATATGTTCTGTATCAGAAACTAGAACTGATGTAGTCTATCCAATGCAGTTTTCTGAATCAGCACCCCAAATAACCAAACCGAATCTAAAGTTGACCAAACACTGATTTGTAACCCTTTTGGTACTAATGTTGGAGAGTGGTCCCTGGTCAAAGTGGTCCCTGGTCAAAAAAAGTTGGGAACCACTGTGTTAAACCCACTTCAAACTAAATCGTAAGTGAGTTGATTGTAATTTCACAGTTATAGATAAATCCTTGGGCATGTTTTAGGATATTGCAAGCATGGGCTACACCAAGAAGATGGCTCATGGTGTGGAATTACAAAAATATGCATGAAAACCGTATGTAAGAATATATATTCGGGCTTTCACAAACATGTTCTTTTATCAGAGTGATGGAGAAGTCCTTCATTG